CCGGTGTACGGCCAAGGAAGAGGAGAGAGAGATTTCGGTGGGGGGGCTGCCGAATGGGGAGAGAGAGAATGAGTCTTGACTTAAATAGTGAAATTTGGACCAAAAGTGGCAAATTACCATCTTGCCCCTCTCTCACAATCCAAATCGACGGCCCAGATTCGATCTTATCTTAGAACCGACGGCCGAGATCGAATCTTTCCCAAAAATATCCAAAGGCAATTTGGGAATTTCATAAAATTCCAAGGGCAAAAATGTCCAACCAAAAAGTTAGGGCAAAATGACCAAAACGCCTCTCCCTCATAAAACATGCCCTTCATGAATTCCCAAGGGTAAAATGGTCACTTTTCCATTTTCTTGCCGAAATTGGATTTTTCTGAAGGATTCGGGACATTCCAAAGTTGTACATTCCAATCACAACATCGTCCTAACATCCCGTCGTGACTTCCTAATTTTTTGATGTCCAATTTGGGCTCAATTAAATAATTAAATTTTATTAAACGCAACTCGAGCGATTCTCAAACTAACGGGCGGCTTGTTGGGGAAATTTGTATATTCGACCCGTGACTGATAATAATTCGAGTCACGCGCAAGGTCATTCGGTTCGTGACGACTTCGATTGTAATTTAAATCGTGAGGATCAATGGCTAGATCCGAGGGGCACGATCGTTTGGTATAGGTTCAGGATCATTCGTCAATTCATTTCGTGGTCCAGCGGAATCACCCGCGATCCACTACTATGACAGTGGCGAACTGACCCCTAGTTATCCTCAGATCGGCCTACAGTGGCTCAAAATGTCACCTCGACGATTTTATGGTCGAAAATCAATTCACGATCGAATTTTCTCTTAGTCGCACGAATTTAAATCCCCAGTTAGCCTTTCCCTAATGGTTAGTATCCCAGGAATGATCAGTTCCGGGCGAGAACTAACTACGAGTACATTCATAAAACCCAGTATTTCATAAATTCCAAATGGACAAATTTTTAGGATGTCACAACCTGGACTTAGCGCGTACCAGGCGAGCCCCCCCTTTTTGCGTGTTCGATAAAAAAGCCGGAGGTCGGTCGCGACAGTTGGCACCAGTATCTAGGTCATATATCTGCATCTCGTTTGTCTTTTATGCGTCAGCAGGGTGTACTTGAGCTTGTTCCATCATCTGTTATGCGTCCTTATACTAGTTGCTCTTTAACTAAATAATCTGCATCTCCTTTTTCCTATTAGCTCTTCTGTTTCTAATGCTTGTTTTGATTTAGTACATTTAGATGTTTGGGGTCGTGCCCTCCACATTTCTAGAAGTGGTTTTAAGTATTATGTATCATTTATTGATGATTATTCTCGTTCTACCTTAGTTTATTTCATGCGTTCTCGTGATGAATTTCTCTCTATCTATAAAAATTTTACAACCATGATTTCTACTCAATTCTCTAAAACTATTGAAAGTCTTTCGTTCTGATTCAAGTTGGGAGTATCTCTCTACAGCTTTTTTTTCTTTCTTAACTTCTCAGGGAACCCTACCTTAGTTGTCCTGTCCTGATGTTCCTGCTCAAAATGGTCTTGCTGAGTGAAAACACCATCATATTTTGGATATTACTCGTGCTCTTCTGTTGTCTAATTCTGTTCCCCCTGAATTTTGGGCTGAAGCACTCTCTACTGCAATCTATCTGATAAATCGACTTCCTTCTCTTGTCCTCTCCAAAGCCACCCCTCACCAACGTCTCTTCTCGAAACCACCCACTTATCACCACCTTTGTGTTTTTGGTTGTACATGTTATGTGCTTCTTTCTTCCCATGAGCACACCAAACTCTCCGCCAAGTCAGTTCGGTGTGCTTTCTTAGGCTACAGCACATAACATAAAGGCTACAGGCATTGTGATCCCTCTTCACGGCATATTCGTATCTCTCGTAGTGTACAGTTCTTTGAGCACTTACCATTCTTTTCCACCTCTTCTAATTCTTCACAGTCATCTCCATATGTTTTTATGGATTTTTCCTTTGATTCACCTCATGATCCTCCTCTTATGTCTTCTTTGTTTGACCCAGTGTCACCATATTCTCCTGTTATGCCTCCTCTTTCGTCTACTTCACCTACCACTCCGACGCCTCTTGACAATTCTCGCCCACTGTCCCCTTGACGGAATCCTCCGCGGGATCGCCGTCCTTTGGCTAGGTATGTGGTGGCTACAAGTTATTATGATGAGTTTGGTTCTTTTATGGCTGTTGTCCACACTTTGCAGGAACCATCACATTATCGTAGGGCAGTACGTCATGTCGAGTGGTGTGACGCTATGTCTGAGGAGTTGTCTACTCTTGAGCGCACTGGTACGTGGGACCTTGTGCCTCTTTCACCAGGAAAGTCCTTGATATCTTGTCGCTGGATCTCCAAAATAAAGACTCGCTTTGATGGTAGTATTGAACGATATAAGGCGCATTTTGTCGCATGTGGTTTTGATCAGGAGTATGGGATTGATTATGAGGAGACCTTTGCTCCTGTTGCCAAAATGACTTCCATTAGCACTCTTCTTACAGTAGCCTCTGTTCGTAATTGGTCTCTATTTCAGCTTGATGTGAAGTATGATTTTCATCATGGGGCCATTCAGGAGGAACTTTCTATGTAGCCACCTACTGGTCTTGCTCATTCTCCTGGTCAAGTTTGTTGTCTTCATCGGGCCCTTTATGGTCTCAAATAGGCTCCTCGAGCTTGGTTTGAGCATTTTGCAGATGTTGTTCGGTCAGCTGGTTTTATTCAGAGTGAAAATGATCATGCTATGTTTACTCACACTTCTCTTGCTGGTTATACTATTCTGTTTATCTATGTTGATGATATGATTATTACTAGGGATGACTCTACTCATATTGCTTATACTAAGCAACATCTTCACCTTCAGTTTGCTATGAAGGATCTGGGTTTCTTACGCTATTTTCTCGATATTAAGGTTACTCGTAGTGGACATGGTATGCTTCTCTCCTAGCAGAAGTACATCACTGACATTCTTGCTTGTGCTGAGTTATCTAATAATCGTACCGTGGCTACTCCTGTTGAACTTCATTTACAGCTTTGTTCGGATGATGGTGAGCCTCTGTCTGATGTCACTCGCTATCGGGCTCTTGTTGGCAGTCTTGTCGGCAGTCTTGTCTACCTTACGACCACTCGTCCTGATATCGCCTATGCTGTTCATCTTGTCAATCAGTTTGTAGTGACTCCTCGCACAGTTCATTATGCTGCTATACTCTGGATTCTCCGATATCTTCGTGGTACTATGGCACGCTTTATTTTTCTCCCATCGACTTCCTCACTTGCTCTTTGTGCTTACTCTGATGCTGACTGGGCGGCGGATGTTACTGATCGCAAGTCCATCACTGGATTTTGTGTTTTTCTGGGTGATTCTCTGATTTCTTAGCATGCCAAGAAGCAGCCTATCGTGTCTCGCTCCTCTGGTGAGTTTGAGTATCGTGCTATGGCTGACACTTTAGTTGAGATTATTTGGCTTCATCGTCTCCTTGCTAATCTAGGTGTTGCCTCCTCTGCTCCCATTCCTCTACACTGCGACAGCAAGAGTGCTATTCACATTTCTACAAATCTGGTCTTTCATGAGCATACCAAGCACATCAATATCGATTGCCATATCACGCGTCATCAGCTTCAGACACACGTCATTTCTCTCCCTTTTGTAGCCTCTGCAGCTTAGCTTGTCCATTTCTTCACCAAATCTCTTACATTACATCGTTTTGCTGCTCTTCTTTCCAAACTCTCTTTGGTTGACCCACATTGAGTTTGAGGGGGGGTGTTAGATATATCGTACATATTTGGTTATATTGTATATCTTAAAGTTGTATATTTTTACGCTTATACCCTTCTTTGTATCTATATATTGGCCTTGTGCCTAATGAGAAATGCATCCATTCCAATTCTCCAAACCTAATAGAAGTGTCTCCAATGAGTATCAACTCCGGCGAAGGAGCTTCAGCCAAGAATGAAGTGCTTTGGGCTACTCGACCAAAAAAAAGACAAAGTAGAACAGAGCACAATCGGTACGACTTTGAAACAGAGTCCGGCGGTGATAAGTGGCAACGGGCGACTTACAAAGGTAGTGGCGAGGACTTGAAGACCAGAAAAATCTTCAATCCAGAGGAATTTTTAACGATCGTGTGAGTGTGGTGAAGGATGCTCTGCTCTTTGTTCTCTGGTTCTGTTGCGACCTAGCCTATGTTGGCCGGCGATGGAGGGTTCGACAGTGGCTTTTGGATGGACTAGAGTTGATTGAGGTGAGCACCGGTGATACAAGAAAGATGCTGAGAATCAGCGTAATTGATTGAATCGAAATTGGAAACCAGAGAAAGAGAGAGAACTTAGCTTCACTCTCATTTCAGTCCATCGAAGAAATGAAGAATCTGATCTCCATCGAGCTTCAATCATGGATGTTCTTCTCGCGATGAAGTTCTCTGTTCTTTTTTTTTTTTTTTTTATCAATGTCATCCTGGAAAATTGAATCGGACTGTATGGGAGCTTGAGGTGGTGCAACGGTGGACAGGCTACGATGGAATTGCCGGCGTAGCAGCGTATGGTGGTGGAGGCGAGACGCGATGTTGTAAGATCATTACGGAGGAAGCCAAAGAAGAATCTAGCTAGAAGATCAATTTGTATCTAGAGTAATAGTTGTACGTTGTACACATACATTATTCTATTTTCAATGAAAGGGAGCCGTGAATTTCACGATGGACGCGCGATACGTGTTGTGGACTTCAATAAACAACCGGAAATATCAGCTGATGATCAAGCAAATCATTGTATAGCTTAATGATTAGGAGCGTCATAAGAATTGATTAGGGAGGACTTATTTTTTGGGTTCTATAAAATATTTTAACCTCGATGGTAATAGGACAATTTAGCCAATACATCGGATATTCTTTCAAACAAGTGCGTTTTACGTTGTGTCCTTGAGAAAAAAAGTTCAGATAATATAGCTAGCGTTATGTTCATAACAACAATGATTTACACCCGCGCATTGATAATTAAAATTTGAAATGAAGATACTATCTACACAAACTAGGGAAGTATGTATCCTAATACTCGCCCTCAAGTCGGTGTGGGAAAATCGATGATGCTTTTTACTTCTGTAATGGCAACTAAAAGAAATTATCGAATGACACATATCCATAGTAGTTCCTGTCAAGTTGACTGGTCCACGCAACTTAACATATTCATATTTCCACGTACTACAAATTGACAAGAGAGGAAAGAGAAAAGTTGAAGGCTTGAAACACATTCTGTTTATTGCTTTGAACGGACTTTCTTCCGTCCATCTGATAATACAAAGCAGTTCTTCAAAGTAGGGCAAGTTCCACCAGCTCTCTAACTCTTCTGTTACACATGCCAAAAATAATCAATAATGGCTTCAGCCAAGATAAGATGCAAGAAATTGGCTAGCAAGAAAGGGGCCAGGCTTACCTGCTAAACAAGCTCCTATTCGCGTTGTCGAAATGTTCTCTTGAACCAAAGCATGGTGATCATCGCTGTCATTGAGAATTTCTCGATGACCCTATCCAATGCTCGAAAGTAAGAGACCCTCCAATATCGCTTGAAGTGCAAGATGCTACAGAATCCCAGAAATCCCACCGTAAAACCAGGTCCCAATCCTGCATAGAACCAGTTGCGGATGTCCAAACCGTGTTCGCTAGGCTTATCTCAATTGGAATTATCACTATGGTGTCCATCATTACCATGTGGCTCGTCTCTAGTACAATTCTTCAAAAGAGGAGCTCCACAGAGTCCGTTGTTGCCACGATAAACAGATTCATCATCCACAGTACGCAGATGGTTGCCGGATGGAATAGGGCCGGACAGTCTATTGAAAGACAGATTCAAATGACTAAGGAAGTCAATGTCGGATATGCTCGGAGGGATTGTACCTGACAGTTTGTTTCTGGAAAGATCGAGAGATTCTAATTTTTTCTAGTCACCAATGTTTGAGGGGATGTGTCCACTCAAATTATTCCGAGAGAGGTTCAGATTTTGAAGTTCGAGAAGCCTAGTGAACTCTGTTGGTATCTGCCCATCCAACATGTTTGCAGAAAGATCGACCGAGAAGTAGTATGAAAGCACATCACCATATATTTGGCTGGTTCCCTTTGTGTTAACCATGAAATTGAGACCGTTCATGTTCGGAAAACCCGCAAAATACGCAGAATCAACCATAGACGAGAAGCCGTCAATACAATTGGGAATGGGTCCAGAAATGTTATTCTGTGCTAGGCTCAAGAAACAGAGATTGCGAAGTCGGCAAAATTGTGGAGGAATGCCTCCAACAAAGTGATTTTTCTCTAAATTGATCACTGCCAAGGGTCGAGGATGTTTCCCAAATGGAGGTAACCTACCCGTGAATTCATTGTCGCTAAGATCAAGGATCATCATAGGTAGATTTGACAAACATATTGGGATTTCTCCAGTAAAGCCATTCCTCTTTAGGCTAAGCACGAATAATTGCTGAAGATAGCACAAGGATTTCGGAATCTGACCATTTAATTGGTTATCCCCAAATGCAAAAACCCATAAATCTTGCAATGCTCCCCAACATCGAGGAAGTCTCCCAGACAATCGATTATTTGAGAGATTAATTCGAGTCAACCTATTCAACTTACACAAAGAACTCGGAATGCCGCCAGTGAGATTATTACCCCAAAGTCTCAATACTCTTAATCGTGGCATCTTGTCTCCAATATCTCGGGGAACTTGGCCTCTAAGCATGTTGCTTGAGATATCTAAATATTCAATGTTAGAGGAAATGTTGTAGAGCCAATTAGTAATGCCGCCTGAGATGCTCGCATTTGACATCGACAAAGTGGTAATGTTCCTCTGTGTTTGAAGCCATCTTGGAAATTCAGGTCCCACTTTACAATCCGACAAATCTATGTCACGAGCTTGGAATGGTGGAACCCAGGCAGAGCTCACATTTAATATGAGCTTATTAGAGGAAATGTCTAAACTGGTCAGGTTTCTGAGATTTTCAAAGTGAAGTTCGCCAACAACTCCATACAACAAATTCTGCGCAAAATGGAGCTCCTTTAAATTCGATAGTCGCCCAATGCTCTCTGGAATGGTCCCGCTCAATTTGTTATTTGCTAGATGCAAGTTTCTTAGAGATGATAGCTCAACCAAATTGACAGGAAGAAAACCAGAAAAAGAGTTCCCTGAAAGATCAAGGAGCTCTAGTTCTTTGAAATCTCCGAATTGATTTGGTAGGTCACCGCTAAAATCATTGTTGAAAACCTCAAAGATCTTCCACTTACTTTGCACGCAACCAAGAGCACCGCCTAAAATGCTGGTGATATTCCCATTGAAGTTGTTACCATATAATCGTACCACTTGCAATTTGCAAAGACTGCTTAAGTTTTTTGGAAATTCACCTTGCATCAAATTTTGAGACACGTCAAAATAGGCAAGCCTTCGATTATTCTCGAAGATTGCCATGGAAAGGTAGCTTTTCGAAAAATCATTGGAAGACAAATCAATATGTTCTAGCTGGCTCAAGTTATATATCCATGGTGGAATAGAGCTTATGCTATTAAACCCAATGTCGAGGAATCTAAGAGAGGTGAAATTGGCTTGCGAAGAGCTAAAAATATGTTGCAATTCACAGTTTCTCAATCCTAAAGATTGCAAAGATGGAAGCATGTTAATAGAACAGAACCAATCTTCAGCCTTCGAAAGGCCAACAAATGACATGTGCAAGAATTTCAAGGCAGATAATTTTGACACCCAATCAAGGTCATTCGAGGTTATATAACCCAAACCGAAATCACTACTCGGATCCAAGTATTCTAATTTGGAAAGGTTATTGAGTTGCCTAGGAATACGTCCGTAGAAGCCTGCATATGAAAGGTTAAGATACTCCAGTTTCTGAAGAGAAGCCAAAAACATTGGGATTTCCTGGGTTGAAAAGTTGTTGACACTAAGGTCCAGATACTTGAGATACTATAGTTCAGTTAAAGAAGGAACTATGTTACCTCCTAGCATGCACTTATCTGAAGGTACGAAGATGTCAATATCGATCTCTTCAATACATGGATTATGAAGATCGAGCTTCACGACATGGTCGTTCTTCTCATTGCATTCGACTCCTTCCCACTTGCAACATTCCTCTCCGGTCCACGACGACAGTCGTCTTGAAGGATCAGTGAGACCATGCTTGAACTTCAAAAGAGCTTCTCTCTCTACACCAATACAACTTACATTGGTCGAAGCAATGGAATGGCCTAATTCGATTGCTTGAATGACAAAGATTGCCAATAAGACAGCAGACTCAAGGCCAACGTAAGATGTCATAGGTTCTTTAGGACCTGAGAACAAGTATTTCTTTAATCATGTAGATAATGGTCTTTGATTCACCAAGAAAAGAGTCACTATAATATATCGTTGAGGCCATTTTCTGATCACCGTCCATCATGACTTCCTAAGGGACGACTCCAACTTTTCCAAGTCAATGCCTTCCAAGACCTGCCAAACGGTCGACCCATCAAAATCAATCCAAAATGCATGTCATCTTTAATCTCTGTAATAGGGGTCAAAGGAGGACGACAAAAAAAAAACGAAGAAAGAGGGATGCTGACAGCACTGTGTACCTCTAAAACTGGTCATTGTCAGTGTATGATGTATGATCTCCAAAAATTGGTTATTGCCGGTGTCGGCCCTCCACCGCACCGCAATTAATCTTGAAATGACCAATAGTATGAAAACAAAAGGGGGTTAGTAACCTTCATTTTTTAACAGAAATGGGCAACCCTCCTTTTATATAAGCAACATCTAGATTAGTAACCTATACCACGATAAAAATGGAGATAATTATCCAACAAAATCCTAAATCTATTATATGGATATCGATTCAGTCATAAATTTTTTAATTTGGCAAATGTAGTCTTAAACCTTTTGACTATTTTTTAATATAGTACATCCGATCAATTTAGGCTGGAAATCGTTGACGTGGCAGTTTAGCTAGCATCGACCATCCTATATGGCACGGCCGGCGATTGATGTGGGGAGGTAATTTGAATGCCATTGTTTTTCAAATTTTTTAAAATTTTCTTTCTTTTTCCTTTTTCATTTTTTTCATCGTCTCCTTCAAGGTGGAGGATACAATGGTACACCAAATCGTCTCTCTAGATCTAGGCTTTTTTGAAGTTTTATTTTTCCTTTAGATAATCTTCATTGTCTTCCCAAATCGCCTCCAATGCTCTATCAAGGTCGAGCTTGATGTCATTTCACTCAATGGCAGGGACTTCCTTAAGGCTGATGCCGAGATCCACTATGATAGCAAGCTTCATGTCATTATGAGGAAGTCCATTGTGTAGAGGCGGTCCCTCGGCTCCGGCTCCTTCTCCGAGTTGACCCCGAGGTTGTTGAACTTCACGTGTGCCAAAACTTACACCTTGAGCTTATCTCGGAACCCGTCTTGGAACTTCACTGGCTATGGGCAAGGGTCGTAGGCCATCACCAACACGCTAACGACCCCCGTCAGTCCATGTCGGCAGAGGGAAGAAGATAAATAGTAGAGAAGGAAAGAATTGGGAAAAAAAAGAAAAAGAAAAGAAACAAAATTGAGAAAATAAGTTCAAAACTATGTCGTTTCATTTAAGATAGTCCACATCAAATGCCAGTCGTGCCATATAGGATGGATGATGCTAATTGAACCGCTACGTCAGCGATTTCTGGCCTGAATTGGGTGGATGGATTACATTGAAAAATCATCAAAAAGTTTAGGATACATTGGCCAAATAAAAAAAATTTAGGACTGAATTAAAATCCGTATAATAAGTTTATGACTTTTTGGGCAATTTTCCCATATAAATGCAAAGGGGAAATCCCGTGAGGGCCTTTACATAGGTGGGTCTCTACGCTTGTTTTCGAAGGTTCTTCATTTTGAAGAAGAAAATATCTCCATTTGAATGACCAGTGAAATAGCACAATCACGTGAAGGAAAATCTTTGCAAAATTAAAACGTCTTAGGAAATTGATTCAAATGGTTATAGCATTATGTGACAATTTGATAAATTTAAGTTATGGTTTTTTTTTTTTTGGTAACCCAGGGAACCCCCGCACGGCCGACAGCCGGGAGTTAAACCTTGGGAGCGACACGTGCTAGCCACCACACACGTGCACCGGTTAAGTCACCCTGCGGCGCCCGGGATTCGAACACACAACCTTTTGCGAGAGGAAGAGTGCCCTTTCTAGCAGCGCCACCCAGGCGGGTGGTAAAGTTATGGTTTTGTTCATTATTCTTTCTGTAAAAGTTGTTTTGGATGCCAAATATGAATGATTTTATTGTTCTCAAATGTATCTTAATTTTTTGGCCAAATTACATTGGAAGAACCTCGTAGATCTTTCATGTACTGGATCTCATTATGCCTTTTGGACTAAATTTCTAATCTCATATCTACATTCAATTTTCCGCAATTAAATAGCAATGAGAGGCAGTTTTACGTTCGTAACTGTTAAACAATTATTGATGAAAAAAATGATCAGTGACTTTTTTTCATTCGTATTTATTAAAAATTCTTTGAATTACCAATTCTTTTACAATTTGCAAATTATCGGATTTTGAAGTGACTTACCAACATTTATATGCATAACTTAATAAAAGTGTCGAATTTATTAACTCTTACACGACACTTTTAACCTAAATTAAAGTAATTTACCAACTTCTCTTAAATTGTATTAACAACTTGTTTGGAGTTACCAACTTTCATTTGAGACCATGCTTGAACTTAGAGATTCCCTATTTGTATCAATACAGCTTACATTGGTCGAAGCTTTGGAATGACCAAATTCGATTACTCGAATGACAAAGATTGCCCATAAGAGGGTAGACACAAAACCTCCATAAGACGCCACAGGTTCTTTAGGACCTTAGAACAAGTATTGCTTCAATCACGGGTACAATGGTCTTGATTCAGCAAGAAAAGAGTTGCTATAAAACATTCTTCAGGTCATTTTCTGATCACCGGCCATCACGACTTCCTGAAGGATGACTCCAACTTTCCAAGTCATGCCTTCCAAGACCCGCCAAACGGTCATCAACCCATCAAAATCAACCCCAAAATACATGTCAATCTCTATTCTGTAATGACGATCGAAGGAGGACGACAAACAAAAAACAAGAGAGGATGCTTACAACACTACGTACCTCTAAGACTGGCAATTGTTAGTGTATGATCTCCAGAAAATTTGTCATTTTCAGACAAAATGAAAGTGGAAGCTCAGGTCAGAGACAAGTGGTTGACACGCAATGCAAGGAGTTATTTGCAAACAGAAGTCGGTGTGCAGTCGAATCAACCTGGTCGCCATAGTGGCAATGTGTCACGCCCCGTACCCTACGAAGCGCTAACATCCCTACCTTGGTTGATTATGGTGCGACGTCCCAGGAAGCGTCGCCAACCCACGCCCAACAGAGAACAAGCACAAGCGGAAGCAATTAAATAAACAACCCTGACAATAGCTATAAGAGACAACGGATAGCCCGACTACAATCCATCGATTCTGATAATATGTACATTTTATATTACTATAGAAAACTTTTATACAATATCCATTTATACAACAAAAACAAACGATACAAGCAGTTAACAGCCACTAGGTCAAAAAGGTAGGTGGCTAGGGTGAGTCTGACTAAACCTATAAGAAGAATTACAGTAAAAAAGGGACAGTCCTCCCTACTAACTCTGGCCTGCTCTAGGGCTCCCAATCAGGGACTGAGGACTCCGAAGAATCACCCGACAACTCCCCTGAAGAACTCTCAGGGGGCTCAGACTCCTCGGACTCCATCTCCTGCGCTGCAGCCCACTCATCCTCTGAGTCTATCTCAAGCTCCGGGTCCAAATACAGATCTAACTCCTCCTCGGACACTACCTCCTCATCAGATCCTAGCTCAGCAACCTCTCCGTCCTCATCCGGGTCTTGATCCATGGGCTCCGGCTCCTGTTCAACCTCCTCGGCCATTGGCTCGGGATCCTCGTACCATACCCCTGGCTCCTGGTCCATGGCCACAGGTTCGTCTGCGAGTGGGGGATCCACAACCTCGCCATCAGCCATCTGGGGTACCATCACCCCGCCTATGTCTACCGAAACGTCAAATGTACGGAGGGGTCACCCGATGTTTCCGTCTGCGTCCTTCAGGCACCAGGCTACATATTCTTGCGTCTGATAAAAATACTCACCCACATTCACGAATACTACGGAATGATATCTTACATACGATTCCCCATTCCCAGCTGGGTATACTCTCGTAGTCGAATGGATCTGAGTGGGGATCTCAAAAAGAGGTGGCTGCTTCGGCATGCTCAGGGCTGGGGGTCTGAAATGTTGGGTTATAACAACCGTGAGACGAATCTCAGCAAGTATAACCCCTAAACCTAGGCTAGGCTAACATGCATTCTCCTGACCAGCAAAACAATGCAAAATACAAACAATGACCTAAGCCATCGGGCCCAGATCGATCATACAATTGACCCTACAGGTTAGGCAGTTCATAAACATGCTCACGGCACATACGCGAACACACTGGTCACACGTACGCCACACGCATGTTCATGCTTATTAATGTTTGATTCGCATGCCAAACACCGAGACTCGCACACTCGCACATTAGCCCATGCACTCTTATGCATGTAAATGTCATCATTATGCCCTATTCATTATGGCTCACACTGCACCCTGGCATACAGCCCATTTTTAATTAATAACTAATCCAAAAACCACGGCCCGAAGGCTCACAACACTCCATGGCCAGTGTAAAAATGCCCCCGGCCCAGTGTCTCTAGCCTGCTACAAAGTGCATGAGGCGCAACACCGATCTCCTTACGAACCAGAGCCTGCTACAAAGTGCATGAGGATGGTCGTCTTCCGGATGTACCGGGCATCATCCTGCTACAAAGTGCATGAGGAAGGCACGACCCGAAGGCCAATATGTGATCACACGGCACACTGCCAATTTTATCTGAACCCCGCGTAATACGCTTCATGGTATTTTAGGTGATCACATGCTCATGGCAGACATGCATTCTCGCACAATTTCATCACACATTTCATTCTTGGCATACACAATGCGTGGCCATGATATGCAGCACATTGCACCATGAGCATTAAATATAATTAGGCACCCAGTCAATTTATGCCACAACAATCTGCTCTCTTGGCCAATTAATACCGTGTGGCCCAATTTACAATGTGCACTGCAATAATTAATCTCAAGCCATCAATTAGCCAATCACATCCCACATTGTCAATCACACGATCACACGACATGGCAATATTCAATTTCCCCAAAGTTAGGCACAACAACCAATAAGTCAA